GCCACCAAGGCCAATGGTGCGAACAGGTCTGCAACTTTTCAAGAACAGAGCTACCAACGCTTTCAAGACAGCATGCTTTGGACATGTCCCAGTCGGCTCTTGGAGACTGGGGATATGGGCTGGGCAGGGCCACAAGATGGGCTCGGGCCGGCTCGGGTTCGAGCAATCAATGCAAGCCAAGCGCCTGAAAGAACACTACATTTAAATGGCGTGCAAGGCGGAAACCTTAGATGCATGGAACCAGAGAAAACGTAACGTTGAAGTGGCTTTGCTGACGCCAAATACGTTGCGGCAGGCCGTGCAGCAACCATTTCTGCACCCAATTGCCGGTTGGGCGGATGCCGTCTTGGAGTTCTTCCAGCAGGAACGGAACAAAAGACCAAATTGAAATTGGGAACTCGGACCATGCAGGCGTGTTCCTGCAAACACATAGTTTCTACCAATAATGAAGGGTCACCCGGAATCATCCCTGTTGGCCATCGTACAGTCGTGCGCCTGGCGGGGCATAGCACCCTCGCACTGTCTGCGAGGGTTGCACAGTCTGCATCGCCAAGCACAACCACCCCTGATTGCCGGCATGACCACCAAAACTCGGATATCCCAAAGGCGCTCCGGGGCAGCGTCGATGTCCTGCCATCAACCGCCCTCGCTTCTCGACCGGTCGTGTACGCGGACACCGTGGGCCTTCCGAGTTCGGCAAAGGGAGCACTTTGGGCCCTTAGGCCCTGTGCCGCATGAAGGGCTTTGGCGATCAGCCCTCGAGGAGGTGCAGCAGGAACGGCTGTCACACCGCCACTCCGCCGTGTTTCACCAAGTATTCCCACGAACACAGTCTTCTATCACGCAACTGCAAGAACATCGCGTTGCTCCCAGGATGACTGCGCTTGAGTTGGAAGAAATGTGACGTAGAAAATAACTGTCTTGCTGGCATCTCGTAACCGTCGTAACCCCCCATCTTGCACCCTGCTCCTGCCGAACTCGAGAGGCTGCTCAAGAAGCTCCGAAGGTTGGCCACGACCTAGGCATGCTCAACAGACTCGGCAACACAAGCTAAGATAACACGGCCAACGAGCTCTCGGTCCAGTACAGCCACCTCCTTTGGTGGAAGACGCCTGGAATCTAACAAAGTCACACTCACGGAAGGCTGTGTTTCCAAGCTTTCGCTGCCTGGAGAGGCAGCTGATGCGCACTGTGGAGGGATCCAGCGCAGTGAGCTCGACGCCCAGCATTCCGCTGCATCTCACCTTCGCGTGCCAAGTCGGGATTTAGTAGCGTACCAAGCAGGGAGCATGATCAAGAGAAGCATCTGCAAGCAAAGACTGCTCCTGCAGTTACTACGCCGTAGACCATAGGCACACACGCGTTCAAGATCTTCAAACCAGTATCGACTCAGCTACAGCTGCCTGCACCGTCGTGGCACCGGTCACGGCACAGCTCCAAACCTGCCAATCAGACGATCGGGTGATTCAGGGTCTTCTTCGCCTTCTGGATCTAAGCAATACACGCGATAACAAGAACAGTCAAAACGGTTGCTCCAGTGTGGAAAACGATCTATCCACAACCCTTCCCCCGCTAGACCGGAGGCACACCTCGTCCGCGGCCGCCTTCGGGGCAGATCTGCCCCTGCACGGTGCAAGAGATGGCACGATTCTTTCTGTGAGGACATCAAAGCGCTTGCAGCAGGGGTCCAGGTTTGTTTTTGCATTTTTTGGTTTTTTTCTGGGCTATTTTTTTTTTGGCGGGGGGTTCAGTTCGATCCATATGCAAAACGTGCAACAGTTACGCGACAACTGAAGCTGTATTCGTGGTCTTTTCTGGTTAATTTTTTTGGGGTTTTCGGACTACTGGTCTTCGGCGATCGATGGGTCACTCAGTCTGTAAATCCGACGGGCCGACCGTCGGCCCTGCCAGTCTACCCGTTTCCTGCCGTGCCAGTTCAGGCTCGGGGCGTCTCGGCTTTGTTTACATTCTTGATGGCACGATGCTCTTTAAAGCAAGCTTGCGCAGTCCCAAAATCAAGCGGAAGAGTTGGGCCTCTAGGATGGGCTTTGCAAGGCCTCACACGTATTATGTGCTTTGACTTGAAATCGCTAAATGGCGAAATAACATTCTTGACTGTACGACGTTCACTACAGCACGTTCACAGGACTTAAGAAAGCGGGGGGGGGTTGTGGGGGCGCACGCACCCCCCCGCCAATTTGCCAACGCAATGCCAAGGGGAATGGCATTTCATCACATCTTGCACCCCGCCCTCGTTTGACGATTCGGTTCAGTATATATGTTACACACGCCCCTCATTTGGCGATTCCGGTCATCATATATCCTAAACACGCTCCCTCATTGGGCGATTCCGGTTCATCATATATCTTAAACACGCCTCCTCATGGGGCAATATCGGTTCCTAATACAAACACGCCCCCTCATTTGGCGATAACGGTTCCTCGAATATCTTAAACATGCCGCCCCCTCTATTTGGCTATAACGGTTCATCACATATGTTAAACACGCCCTCTCATTTGGCGATTCCGGTTCCTCATACATATTAAACACGCCCCACCATTTGGCGATTCCCAAATTCCTGTATCTCATACATCTTGAACATGCCCCCCATCGTTTGGCGATTCCTGTTCCATCATAGATGTTACACACGCCCCCTCATTTGGCGATTCCGGTTCACCATATATCTTAAACACGCCCCCTCATGTGGGGATTCCGCTTCACCATGTATCTTAAACATGCCACATTTGGCGACAGGAGTTCACCACATTATCTTAATCACGCCGCCCCGGTATTGGGTGACTCCGGTACATCATATATCTTGAACATGCCCCCTCATTTGGCGATTCCGGTTAATCATACATGCTGAACATAACCCCTCGTTTGACGCTTCCGGCTCATCATATATCCTGAACACCCGCCCAACCCATACATCTTAAACACACCCCCTCATTTAGCTATTCCAGTTCATTGTACATGCTGAACATACCCCTCATTTGGCGATTCCGGCTCACCAAAGGTCTTAGACACGCTCCCTCATGTGGCGGTTCCGGTTCACCATACATCTTAAACACGCCGTCCCGTTATAAGGTGATTCCGGTTCATCATATATCTTGAACACGGCCCCTCATTGGGTGATAAGGGTTCATCACATATCTTAAACACGCCCCCTCATGTGGCGATATCGGCTACACCGGTTCATCATATATCTTAAACACGTCCCCTCACTTGGCGATTCCGGTTCACCGTATACTTTCAACCCGCCCCTCCTCTTTTGGCGATTCCGACTCCTCATACATACTAAACATGCCCCCTCATTATTTAACATGCCCCCTCGTTTGGCCATTCCGGTTCGTCATACACGTTAAGCACACCCCTCCTCATTTGGCGATTCTGGCTCACCATGGATCTTAAACATGCCTCCTCATGTGGCGGTTCCGGTTGGCCATATATCTTAAACACGCCGCCAACTCATATGGTGAGTCCGGTTCATCATATATTTTGAACATGCCCCCATCATGTGGCGATTCCGGTTCATCATATATCCTGAGCATGCCCCCCCCCCTTTTGGCGACAACGGTTCATCACATTTCCCATATCTTAAACGCATGCCAGCACATTCTCTGTTTGCAGCGATGCAGCCGAAGGGACGGAAGAAGAAGAGCAAGAAGACCAACAGGCTATTTGGCGATTCCAGTTCATCGTACAATGCGAACATGCTCCTCATTTGGCGACTCCGGCTCACGATATGTCTTAGACACGCGCACTCATGTGGCGAGTCCGGTTCACCACATATCTTAAGCACGCCGTCCCCTTATTTGGTGATTCCGGTTCATCCTATCCTTAAACACGCCCCCTCATTTGGCGATATTCATCACATATCTCAAGCACTGGCGGACCGACTGACCGACTGTCCGACTGACTGACTGCCCGGTGCTTGGCGCGGCGCATGGACCGACCGACCGACCGCCCGACTGACTGACAGACCGGCATGCTGGCGTACCGACCGACGCACCGACTGACTGACTGACTGACTGACTGACTGCCCGGGGGCTCGCGGATCGACTGACCGACTGAGTGGCTGACTGACTCGACGCTTGAAACCACTCAGGCGAAAACCCAAAAAGAATACCAAAACAAAAGCAATCCGGGGAGACACAAGTCCCTGAGTGGCCAACCCCGTCTGGTCGGTTTTTTGCAGGGCCAGAGTCACCTCTGCTGTGCACCCTCTGCTCACCAGGACGTGCGATCACACTCGGATCGGATGAGGTCAGGGGCATCTTCGATGCAGCGTGCCAGCTCCAGGGCCTTGGTCTAATTCGGAGTGCGCGGAGGAGGACTCCCACCCCCTAAAACAAACTCCCCCAAAGCTGACAAGCAGCTGCAGCGGCCGCGTGGAGGGTGTCGCCCAGGTGCTTGGTCCGGCTCAGCCTGGAAGAGGGGCTACGATTTTTGGAACCAGAAAACTGCTGCAACGCAACCGCCCGGCTGCCTCCGCCCTAGGCGGTCAGCCAGGATGCACGGCCGTGGAGACTGGCGCAGAACACTGACAGAAACATGCCTACTCACAAGGAGCTCTACCTCTCGCAGCGGTTGGCGGTTGACACGCTGTCTTTGGTCCAGGAGGGGCTCAAAGGTTGGGGTCGGAGCTGCTCACACTAAGCACTGGCATCCTCTCAGACGGTGGTCAAGACCTTGACTTTCAGAATGCAGACTGCAGACTGGAGTGAATCTTCCTCTTTTTCGTATCCTGCGGGCTAACATGGCTAAGGCAAGCGCCTGGCCCATGTACAGATTGCCTGTTCCCTGCACCGGCTCCTTCCAAGAGCAGGGATCCAACACCCATTGATGCATCTGTCACACGGAGCTTTCCGCAAAAGCCCTGAAGGCACCGACAGCACCAAGACTAAAACCAATTTGCAAGAACACTGAAAAAACAAGCACTCCGAGGCCTTCCTTCTGTGGGGCTCTGGCGCTCCCTAAGTCAGGCCCCTCCCAAGCGCCTGCTTCATGGCAGTGCCTTCCACAGTCATGTTGCCTGGGCTCACTCCACGGAGCGCTACCGAACCAAACGAGCAAAAGAGTCGTCCTGACCCTGATCGATCCATTCTTGCTGTCATGTGCAGTACCCACTGAAGTCTTTTCAGCTTCCGAGACTATCTGTTCGACTGCGCTTCGGATGCTTACCTTGCTCTGACAGTGAGCATGAGCAAGCCCAAGTTTCCGGCACCAGGTGGGCTTGCAACTTGTGCCACCGAAGCAATCGGCTAGGCCCTTCAAGACCTGGGACCAGCAGCAAAAGCAGAAAACGGTATGACATGCTCGGGGAGTTTGGGGGGATACTGCACCCTGCTCCACGGGCGGCTTTTGGCTGAGACACCAAGAAGCGACCACCAGAGTGTGAGACGCAGTCCTCAGGAAGAGGCCCAGTTGCAGCCACACACACACCCACAGAGGGCCGTCCCCGTCTCTTTTTGACCCAGGGTCCGCCGAGCTCTGGCTCGAGATCTTTCCGCAGGACTCCTCGGCTCCCCAAAACGGGCCGGCGACCGAAAACCCGGAAGAGCCGGAAGAACCGGGAAGAACCGGGAAGAACCGGAAGGAAGAGGCCTCTTTCTGCTTTTCTGTCTGGAGGCTGAGGTCTGGAGGCTGCCTCCGGGGCCCTTGTCGGTGATGAAGACCTGCGGGCTGCGGATTTCGTCGCTTTGAGTTCTCATGGCCCTGAAGTCTTCTCGGGAAGCCTCAATTTCAGAGGTGCCAGGGTTCACCTCCACAGGCGTGGCAGTGCGAGACATCTCGAGACTCGAGACATCCTCAAGTCTCGAGCCTGGGCAGCCACCTTCCCGACCGGCTGGGAGGATCCAAAGTCCTCAGCTCTCAGACCCTCGTGCCTCTGTGATTCTCTGAGCTGCTAGATTCCTAGATTCGTCGATCCCTGCCAGCTTCGCAAATGGGCTCCAGGCCCAGTACACGGCACCTTGCTGACTCAACCTTGCGATTGGGTTCTGCAGACACTGCAACAAGCTGTAACAGACTGCAGCTGCAAGGACCTCGGAAGCTCCTGCCCTGATCCTGAAGTGCTGCTTGTAGCTCTATCAACTGCTGAGAACCTGAGCCCTGCACCCAGAGAAACATGTGGCCGTCAACGCGGTTTTGCTCTGCACCTTCGCCTCCTGAGCCGGGACAGTGGCTGTGCGTGCCCAGTGGTTGTGCTGCAATGGACTGATCTTCTGAAGCGTCTAAGATTCTAAGAACTTTGCGGCCATGCTGGAAATAGAATCCCTCGAGCCGAAACCAAGGGCATCGAAAACCCTCATTGCAGCTGGCCTCGATGCGGCGCTGCATCTTCGTCTGCGGTGAGTTGCAGGCTATGAGGACAGACTCGCCAAAAAAATCTCAAACGCATGCACCACACCGCCACTATGCCTTGCATGGGCATTCCCCCGGGCCCTTGTTGGGGACGGTGATGTTCGGAGCGCCGTCCTTGCAGCGAAGCAAGCAAAATGAAGGTTGGCGGGTACATGGCCGGCAGAGATCGGAGAGCTGCGTGAGCGACGAGTCCTCCACGTTGCGAAGGGAGTTCTCTGGGCACTTGGCATACTGGCAGCTTCCAGAACCGACCTCGGCCAAATCAGAGAAACTCAGCTTGCACAGCACCAGAGCTGAGGCTCCCACATTCCAGAAGAAGGAGCCTCAGTCGGATACCGAACTGCATGTCATGACGCGTGCCCACAAAACCATCAGCCCCCTCCCGGGAGGCGGGCTTTCGCAAGTCACTTGCGCGCCCAGTGCATACGCGTCGCCCATCTTGCTCCAGCCCATAGCGGTGTCTGGGCAAAGCACTGTAAGAGCCAGGTGCTTCAGTACGAGTACCACTGTTGTACGTACCACCACTCACATGCAAAGGTCTAGTAAGTCTAGTAGTCCTTATCCCTTGCATCCTTCTCTCACAACAGTTCCGAATCTGTCTTCTCACCAAGGCACCGATGGGAGTGCTCTGCCAGGGCTCCAAAGCCACGCAGACCTCGACCTCCTCGTGAATGATTCCGGCATGTTCACTACCGAAGGGCTGCGCTCTTTCAGGTGTGTTCTATCATCACATCACGTCCAAGTACGAGTGCACACATATGCATGCACACGTATGCTGTGTGTCTACACTACACGCATGTGCATGAATATGTGGGTGTATACATAACACAACTGTCGGAGGTCTTGGAGACTATAGAGTTGGACGGTCTGGATTTGGCTATGTGTTGAGGCAGCTCCTTGAACTGTTTGGAAGTGTCGGAGAGCCCGCAAGCATCCTCGCAAGACACGACCGGGCAGGCGCTGAGGCCTCGCACAGGGAGAGCAGGCGAACACAAAAGCAGTTGCCGGATCTTGTTTTCAATTGACATCATGAGGAACCGTCTCGAAGGATCAGGGTGCGTGCGCGAGCTTGGCCGCTCACCGGTAAGGGCTGGGTCTTTATTCTGGCTTTATTCTGTCGAATCACTGAGCCCAGCCAGCTCAAGCATTCAGGGGACGAGGGGCCAAGCTCCAGTGAAAGCATTCATGGATTGTTGATTTCTGAGGCTTACCGATTGAAGCGCGGAGCGACCCTGACTGTGACTTACGTGCCAGGAAAGCAATGCGATTCGCGTAGGCTGGCGTACCGAGGCTGTCCGATCAGGCAGCAAAACGACAAGGCCACGCCCCTGTGATGAACCATGAGAGCCACTTCCAGGGCCTAAACAGACACTCCAGCCCAGGAAATAGCGGCAATACCTGCTCCCGACATCACACGACCACACAGCACCCCGCACCCTTCGGCAGGTTCGCGTAGTGGATAGCATCGAACTCGTCGGTTCCTGGTACTTCGCCTGGGCATCGTGCCACGGTGCTAAGCAAGCATAGAGGGTGGTAGTGGCACCTCGCATCCAACGCAGCAGGGCTGCTGCATCCAGACAATGGACTTGAAGATTCTAACAGTCTAACTGTTCAGTCTTCTCAATGTAATGGAATAGTTTGAATTCTTTTTCTCACAGACGTGTCTTCGGCAGGAAGCTCCACGGAAGTTCCGCACGGTCTCCTGGTGGATTTGTTCTGTTCCAGTTCTGGGCTCCCTGTGAACTGTTGGCCTGTTTGGTGTTGACTTTTCTGTTTTTTATTAAGCAGAAGGAAATGAGGCGAGTGTACGGCTGACAACGAGGGAAGCACAGAGCCGGACGTTGCCCACATGCCGCTTCTGCACCGGCTGGGTTAATGCTGTGGCTGCTGCTCGCATTGCATTTGAAGATTTCGAGCTTCTCGTGGTAGGTGGCAATGTCACCTCGAGCATTTTAAGCCAAGTGCTGGGCTTTATGTCAGATCCCTGCGAACACTAAGCATACTAAGCGCCTGCATCGATCTTCATCTGCAGGACAGCAGGATCGTTGACGTAGCTCGTCTCCATGCCTGCAGGGCTCCCGTGACCCGTCGAGGCGAGTGACTGCATTTGCTGTGCTTCTCTTTGGGTTTCCTTCCATCTGCGGCAACTGCTGGGCTCTAGTCGGAGAACTCCAGCCAGCGCAGACTCACCACCACCACATCTCTACGAGAAGTCTATAACTATGGGGCCTGACGTGTCCAGTCCAGAATCAACACTGCAAGCTGCAAACCCGACGCGACGAAAGCCCTGCCATGCCAGCAAGGCACATGTTTTGAGCTTGGTGCTCTGGTTGGGCCCAAACGAGCCAATGAGGCAGGTCATGCGAAGAACGGAGCGCATCTGCGCCTTCAGAGAGCCAGCAGACAACTAGATCACTGTCCTTGACTACTCTGCTCTTCACAGGGCAGGGAAGCGACCGAGAGCGAGAGTGCAAGTGCGAGAGGCAAGCGGAGACCACTGGACGGACAGACAGACACAGAGATGGACGAGATGGATGTTGAGTCGCCACCGGGATTTAGATCGACAAGTATCGACACATGGTTTTGAGGCCCCGGCCATGCGGGAAACACCCTCAGACTCGTGCTCGGTCTGGCGCAGCCAGGCTCACAATTTCTAAAGCACTGCGACTCCGCACGTTTCACCAGCTTCCGGCTTGCCTTTGGCATCAGGACTACACCTTCTTTTCCTCATCGGATGTTTATTTTGCTCCAAGAGCCTTCACAGTGTCCCAGTTGGTGGCAGCTGCATCGTAGCCTCGGGTTCTTGGAAGTGGTCTCACGCACTCAGATGCCAAATATCACCGTGCCAAGCTTCAGGTGTCATAGTCTTCCCAGGCTTCCCTGCGGGGCTTTGGAAAGCTGTCGTTTGCTTTTCCCGCCTGCTCCGTGCCTCCTCGACTTGAGAATGTTGCAGGTCTCAGTCTCGGCGGAGGACCGGGGTGCGCAGCAAGCCCCCGGCATGGTCCTGAGAGCTGCGAACTGCATGCCACTGCACTCTAGCACTCTTCTTCTTCCCCAGGGCATAGGGGGTGTGTCAGACCCCCCGGCCTACTGGCCCCGCATATGTTATGGGGCTTTCGGGGGTGTGAGAAAGTTGTTCGAGTTCTCTCTTCTTCTGCACAGCCAAAGAGGGAGCCGTGCCCCCTCCCTCTCTCTCTTTCTTTCGCCAGGGCTATGGACAGCAGGGTTGCCCCCACTCTCTCTCTCTCTCTCTCTCTCTCTCTCTCTCTGCCAGTCCTCAGACGCACAAATTATCCAGAAGCCCTCCAAACACCCTTCGGGTCAGAAGCCGCAATCTGTTGCACCTCCATCTCACCTGCCAGGAGACTCATTCTTCGGCTTCACGATGCTGATGATGCCATCACAGGTCCTGGTCCAAAATGGCATGCACGACTGCAATCTTGCCATCAAGATTGCTTTCGTAGTATTCAAGGGCCGCCGAGCTGCTCATAGCAGCGATGCACAATCTCTGGGACCTGCCTGCACCTCGGCAAATGGAATCGATTTTCGGTCTTGAGAATCAAATCTTCCGTTAGCCCGACGGACAGCACAGATGATCTATCCAAAGCTGAATCTGAAAATGCTGGCCGAGAGAAACAGACTCGGACAGCGCTGCACGGCAACGGGAAAAATCTTTATGCGAGGTGTCTTGCCTGATCGCACAATTCGAGGCATGCCTTGCAAACAAAGGGCTTCTTGTCGTTGCTCTCGTGGAAGGTCCAGTTCGCGTTCTTGGCAATACATGATTTCGCAGGTTGGTCATGTCAACCCAAATCAGCTGCTATCATAATGAGCTGCAAGAAAATCCCAACAGCATCTTTGACATGCACCCTGACCCTGCAGTTAACAGGGGCAGGCCACTGTATCCAGCTTCTTCTCTAGATGCTCGAGCATGCGGGTCAAATAGGCCTCAAAATGTCATGCCATGCAGTGCAACATGCAAGCTGGAATGGGCAATCTAGTCAATCTAGTCCTCGGATCTTGTCGATGGCAGGGAATGCTGTACCTTGCACCTATACCAAGTACCAGACTCCGAAGACTGGACTGGCCCTTCGCTGCAGTACACATCTACATCCCCCAACACAAAGATCAAACGAGTCGCTCGGTAGCCCTCGTGAGCGACAGGTGCGCAGTCGAGCTTGTCGCAAGCCTGAAACAAGTCGAGCAGCGCTCACATGTGCTGAGCTGAGCTCATGACCCATCCCGGCAGTCCCTCTGTCGCTAATCGCTTATCGAGCCTCCGAAAAAACGAATTTCATTCATGTGTTCATTTAGTCACTGGTTATCTACACCTTGATGCCGCAGTGCTGAACTCAACATGAACTCCCATGCCAAGCGCGCATTGTGAACGGATGTGCTGCAGAACTGCCGCGTGACAGGATCATGTGCACAATCGCCCTTCTCACGAAACATGAGAGCGAGTTTTCCGCGAGGAGACCTAGCGATGCAGAGAGCTTTTCCACGTCTTGCCAGGAACGATGCTGGTTTCTACTTGCAATAACCGCGCTACGCTGCTACACTCGAGAGCGTTATTTTATCTGAAGTCTTGTCTACTCGGAAATCGTCTAGCCGACTCGTGATGATACATCCTTGTTTGCATTCATGTTTGAGGAACAATTCCATGAAGAGCACCTGGCAGCTTGGCATCGTGAAAACATCAATCCAAAGACTGCGACAACATCGGCACCTGATCAGCGGGCGAATGTGCCCTTATCCGTGTTCTGAATCTTTCCTGTAAAGATGTACTGACATTCTTTCGGACCTGCATTCAGCATCGTCGCCTAGCTGCAAAACCCGAATTTCACTGGATGTGCGTGGGTCTGTGATTTTTGTGCATTTGGTATGCACAGGGACGTGTGTTGGTGTTGTGTGTCGGTGGTGCGTGTTGCGTGCGTGCGTGCGTG